TGCTGCAGGAGGTGGGGCTGGGGGAGATGTGGGCAGGCCTGGGCACTGGCCCTCCAAACCTCCACTCGCCGCCCTCCACCCCAACCAGGCCTCAGACCCCCACTTTCCCCAGCCCCTTCTTGGGACTGAGCAGCTCTGGCTGGGGCACACCCTTGCACTGTCATCCTTAGCAACTGTTGTTAATTAATATTAACAGCCTGATAACAGAGGGGGCAGTTAGGGGTAGAATGACGCAGTGACACCAGTCTCTTCCTCTAGGTGGAAAGAGAAGATCAGCTCGCTGGGGTCTGACAGTGCACAGAGACCCCAGATGTAAGAGCTATGGTCCCCCTCCATGTCTCTTTCCCAGGCCTGTCGCCACCAACCCTGGAGGAGCAGAGTGTCGCTAGGAACCCCAGACCATCGGTCTGCCCCACCTGAGCCCAGATGCATAGCACTCGCCTTCTGCTCCCTCCTGATGGGGATCTGCAAAGCCTCCTTGAACTCTCCCTATCACCAGAATGGGCCAGACATTGGCCCCCATGCCAAGGCTGAGCTGATAAGGGCAGCCTGTGGGGAACATCTCCCCAGGTGTGGCCACCTGTCGGAGGCAGCTGGAGGAAGGAACCTGCTATCTCTCTGTTCTTGTGTTCCATGGACCCTGGCCTGACTCAGAGGGAGCCACCAGCTCACCACATGCTGGGGAAGACAGACGCCGAGGGGAGGGGGACCAAGACGCTGAGAGGGGTGCCAGGGCAGGCTCAGGCTGATCCCTAAGCCCTGAGTCAGCCATGGGTGGAGAGGAGAGTCAAGGGCCCAGGGCCTGCCCATGCACAGTGACCACCATCTGGTACCTTCCAGGCCTTGTCCCCATACACTCTAGCAGATGCTGAGACTCCAGCCCCCACTTCAGGTCTCTGTCCTCTCTCCTGGGTGTCTTCCCCGAGAAGCAGATCCTGAGACAGGGATTCCAGTGCAAATAGTTTGTTTGGAAGGTGACTCCAGATGGCGCCAGTGGAAGAGGGCAGGGCGGGTGAACCAGGGGACAGGAGGAAGCAACCAGGGTGCATTAAAGAGTGGGCTCCTGTGGACTCACCAGGGACTTCCAGGAGACAGTAAGGAGCACGCCCCAGAGGGTGTCCTCCAGGGAACAAAGTCGTGTTGTGCTTGCCCACTGGTTGAAGTCACTTCCACAGCTTTAGCTCCAGGATCCTCTGGCACATGTGGAGCCAGTCCCCAATGCAGGGACCCCTGGCCATCATTCCTAGGTCTTTGCCAGGGCAGGCCCAGAGAGACAAAGCCAAGTGTGTGGTCTCCGGGGTCTTCTCTGAAACACACAAGGGGTGAGAGCAGCACCATCCAACTCCAAGTAAAAGATAAAAACTCTCATCCACAATCTCACCACCCGGCTCCCTTTGCACATGGTGTCTCCGAGGCAGCGACCCGGGCACAGATATACTCTGCTCACAGTGTGTTGTGAGCACAGTATACATACACTCTTGTATCCCACTTTTTCTTTTGACTTTTAACACAAATACTCAACTCAAATACTCGCCGGCCCGGGTGGTCTAGTGGTTAAGGTTCGGTGCTCTCACCTCTGCGGCCCCGGGCTCATTTCCTGGT